TTTTTTTTTTTTTTTTTTTTTTTTCGATAATCTGACTAGGAATTAGAATTTTAGGTAGATAGTGGATTTACCTGATTGATTTTTAATTCTACACCATCATAAGGTTGGAGAGAATCAGTCACTTTTATTAATAAATTAAAGTACATATTATTCTAAATAGAAGTCAAAAATTTGTTCAATTTTTTCAATGGTAAAGTAAAATTAAAATGAATTCTTTGAGCTGTATTATAGATAGTACAGAGCTCGTGTTGATGTTGTTAAGTTAATTGAATATGTTCAAGCTTATAGAATATTGAATCAAAAAATAATAATTTTTGAAAATAGGTGATTATAATCCGGACACTGGTCCATTTCTTATTGAGGGACAAGTTTCAAACACGGACTTTGTAGTTTATTAGTAAATTTAATCTTACTTTCGTACTTTATCTAACGATAAATGACGCGAAAAACACTCTTTCCAATCATTTGGAATTTACATTTTTTCGAAAATTTGATTAGGAATTAGAATTTTAGGTAGATAGTGGATTTACCCGATTGATTCTTATTTCTTAATTCCAGAGATTGGAAAAATTTTATATGTTTATTCATAAATCTATGTTCAAATAATTCAAAAGTATTGAATAATTTGTTTATTTAAGTGCGATTATTTTCGTCTATTAAATTCTTACATTTACACCGTATAGGTAACTTATTACTTATATTTCTATGTGTCTGTGAAAAATAAATACAAGAATCCCGAAAGTACCTCTGCACACTGATCCGTTTCTTATTGAGGGACAATTTCCGAACGTGGATTTTGTAGTTCATTAGTACATTGAATCATATTTTCTTGTCCTATCTATCGATAAATGACTCGAAAAACACTGTTTTCAATCATTAGGAATATGCATTATTTCAATTATCGGACTAGGAATTAGAATTTTAGGTAGGTAGTGGATTTACCTGATTGATTCTTAATTCCGGAGATTGGAAAAAGTCGATATGTTTATTAATAAATGTATGTTAAAAAAATTTAAAAGTATTAAATAATTTTTTCATTTAAGGGCGAGAATTTTCGTCGGATTAAAGTTATCAGCGTGTTATCGTCTATTAAATTCTCACATTTACGCCGTATAGGTAACCTTTTACTTATATTTCTATGTGTCTGTGAAAAATAAGTACAAGAATCCCGAAAGTACCTCTGCACACTGATCCATTTCTTATTGAGGGACAATTTCCGAACGTGGATTTTGTAGTTCATTAGTATATTGAATTATATTTTCTTGTCCTATCTATCGATAAATGACTCGAAAAGCACTGTTTTCAATCATTAGGAATATACATTATTTCAATTATCGGACTAGGAATTAGAATTTTAGGTAGATAGTGGATTTACCGGATCGGTACCTAATGCTTAACTCCGGAGATTGGAAAAAATCATTATGGTTATTATTAAATTTAAGTTCATATAACTCAAAAGTTTTGAATAATTTGTTCATTAAAGGGCGAATATTTTCGTCGCATTAGAGGTTTCAGATTTTTAACGTAAAGTTCAACGTAGTTCATTAGTACATTGAATCATATTTTCTTGTCCTATCTATCGATAAATGACTCGAAAAACACTGTTTTCAATCATTAGGAATATGCATTATTTCAATTATCGGACTAGGAATTAGAATTTTAGGTAGATAGTGGACTTACCTGATTGATTCTTATTTCTTAATTCCAGAGATTGGAAAAATTTTATATGTTTATTCATAAATCTATGTTCAAATAATTCAAAAGTATTGAATAATTTGTTTATTTAAGTGCGATTATTTTCGTCTATTAAATTCTTACATTTACACCGTATAGGTAACTTATTACTTATATTTCTATGTGTCTGTGAAAAATAAATACAAGAATCCCGAAAGTACCTCTGCACACTGATCCGTTTCTTATTGAGGGACAATTTCCGAACGTGGATTTTGTAGTTCATTAGTATATTGAATTATATTTTCTTGTCCTATCTAACGATAAATGACTCGAAAAACACTGTTTTCATTCATAAAGAATATACATTATTTCAATTATCGGACTAGGAATTAGAATTTTAGGTAGATAGTGGATTTACCTGATTGATTTTTAATTCTACACCATCATAAGGTTGGAGAGAATCAGTCACTTTTATTAATAAATTAAAGTACATATTATTCTAAATAGAAGTCAAAAATTTGTTCAATTTTTTCAAAGGTAAAGTAAAATTAAAATGAATTCTTTGAGCTGTATTATAGATAGTACAGAGCTCGTGTTGATGTTGTTAAGTTAATTGAATATGTTCAAGCTTATAGAATATTGAATCAAAAAATAATAATTTTTGAAAAAAGGTGATTATAATCCTAATGAAAACTTTTAACCTATTCACGTATTTGCGGTAAATATAGTGGTATAATGTATTGAAAATACAAAATATGAAGACTGCTGTTTCCAATCATTTGGGATTTAAATTTTTAATTTATTATGCAGCAATTTGTTTTTTTTTTTTTTTTTTT